TGACAGCTAGTGTAGAACCCTTAGCATAGCACTAACGCTTCGGGCGGACTACTTAAATAGGCAACCAAAAGTTGTATATGTGACTAGTTGTACTCTCATTATACTGATGTAATATGTAAGCCAGTCTTCGGACAATGGCCCATCCATTTAAACTAATAAAGTGCCAGGGGCCTAAGTGGTCACCTCAATATTAAAAAAAAAAAATAATACCTAATATAATATTATTTTCTTTTTTGAGCTCTTTTTCAATTGCAATTGTAATTTATGCTGTCTCATAGTTAAGCCAATCATTACTTAAAGCTTTTCGATCAGGTAGTTTATATGAAACACACAAATTTTGACAAAAATCCAAAAAAAAAAGGACTTTCAACAATTCAAAAAGGAATTCCACAGCATATAAAAAGTTGAGTTAATGCTTTATGACATAATTGCTCTTGTCCAGAATCTAATATACTAATACTTTGAAATTTACTATCTATACGTGGTTGTGAGCCACTAGCAATTTATGGACAATTTTTTTTCTTTTATTTGGTGCTGGAAAATTTCGTAAACAATCTTGTTTAACATTAACTAAGCAGTTTAAAGCTAAATGTGTATTTATGTTTATATCTGATGTACATAAATTTTTTTTATTACAATAATTATATTTCCAACCTTTATAACCACTTTCTTGTTAATAAATTTCTGTAAATGATTACTCCAAAGTGGATTTTTAGAATGTTCTCTTTTATTTTTTTTGTTAACATAAGTAAAATGACTTAATGTTTCAGTTTCTAATAGCAAATTTACTGTGCTAGAACCTGAATCTTCCATTATTTAAATTATAAGTATAAAGAAAATTATTGATATCACTAGAAAAAAGAAACATTTATATTATTTAACTAGATAGCTATATAATATTATTTTTGTAAACTAGAAACTAGGTTTTTGTAAATATTAATAAAGATAAATAATTTGTATATACATAGCCAAATAATAATAGTAAATAAACTCAATATAGCTTTAAAAGTATTAGTTGTAGCATCAGTTTTCTTTAATTATTTTAATAGTTTGAGAATTTAAATATTATATATATAGTATTTGCAGTTTATAAAGTTATGTAATAAAAGAATAACAAAATAAATATTTAACAAAAATATAAAGGGCTTATTGTTATGTCTCTTATTAGCCACAAATATGTATGACCCCAAGTCATTATTAACAAGATAATGATATCTCAATACAATAGTATTGTTTAGCAAAAATACTGCTCTTTTATGAATGAAACTAACAAGCAAAACCTTAAGTTACTACCAAGACACCAGTATCTCAATATAATAGTATTGTATGTTTTTCTTTTTTACTTTTTTTTTTGAAAGATCAATTTCTTTTTATTATTATTTTTTTGCAAATGAATAAATCTGAATCTTTTCTTTATTTCTCATATTCCTTATATACTTGAATTTGACTCCAGCTTAATTACATCATAATTTAATTATATGGCATTTGCCTTTAAATTAATTACATAATTGCTTAATTATACAACCTATCGCTATTTTAACTTTCTTAATTTCTCATAAATTATATGTTTTAATTGATTCTTAACTCATAATTTACTTATTAATACACATGGTCACAGGACCACATCTTCAAACATGAAACAATCCAAATTCGATAAGTTCAATTTTATTTGATTGTTTATATTGTTATTATTATTGTTCTATTATTTTACTAACTAATTCATTTCTCTATTAATAGTTCTTGTACTACATAATGTGAGAGACTACATTCTTCCAAGAATCGATTTTGGCTAGGACACTTAACTAAACAATAATAATGAATAAGCCCTATTGCTATGTAGTGGCATAGTAATAACTAAATTTAAGCAGTTATACAATAGAAAAATAACAGAATAAATATTTAATAAGAAATGTACTATATATATGCAACAACAGTAAATAAGCCTTATACAGTTGCATAAATTTAAGCAATCAACAATAACAAAATAAATATTTAATAAGACATGTACTATACATATACAACAACAGTAAATAAGCCTCATATAGCAGCATAATTTAAGTAATCACGCAATAGAAGGATAACAAAATAAATATTTGACAAGAGTATAAGAGGCTTGTATCACTAGTCAAATATAAGAAATTCGACTACCGAATGAAATGGCCGATTCGACCTGAATTTGATAGTCGAATAATTAGCTAATTTTATATTGAATTATTAGAATAATTTGACATAAAATCAGCTAGTTGAATTCTAAAAATATTTAGCCTAAAATTGACCAAAAATTCGATAATCAAATTCAGGTCGAATCGGCCATTTCAATTGATTATTCTATATTATTACACTCATTATACATATTATACAATATTTAATATAATAACTTTATTTATATTTTCTAATAAATATAATCCATATAACCCCAGCTCCAACCTATCCATTACTAACCCAAAAACTAATCTAGCCCAAACTCTAAAAGTTTTTTAATGAATCTTCTATCTGGATAATTTAGATCGCTCAGATATCCAGATAACCCACAAATATCAATTATAAATAGATTTCGAATAAGTTCAAATCTGGATATCTAATAATTACTGAATAAATGCTTAATAGATTAGAACTCTAAATCAAAGCCAAACTCCTAATTAGTAGAAAATTAAATAAACTAATCAGGTAAATTAATAATATAGAACAATAATATTTTGATCATCTCTTTAAATACTGATCTTAATCTTCTAATAAAGCCATTGTTCATATAATAAAATATAATGTCGAGTATTGTTATTGATATGGAATTGAAGTTGAAAAGAACAAACACTATGACTTCGATATTATTAAAAATCAAACCTAGAAGAAAAGAATTATGAACAGTATTAGCGAAATTAGTTTGATATTACGAAACAGCAAAGACATTTGACATTTTTCCTAAAATGTTTAAGTCAATATGAGTTCTGCTAATGGAACATAATTGGATATTGCTTATCGATACGGAATTGGAATTGAAAAGAGCAAACACAGAGTCTTTGCTTATGGGTATGAAATAAATGTTGAAAAGGACAATACAAAAACTTGAGTTATTATCAGAATTTGCTGGTATGAAATTATAGCAGATTAGTATAATATAGGTTGGTTTTTAAAATCTATAATATACAGAACTAAATTTTTATGAAATATCTACAGTAGAAGTAAGTTAATTTAGTTTGCCATCAGCAAAATTATAAAACCTAACGCTTACATATATAATACCTATCCGTATAATATAGATTTAAAATTGGCCTATACCATACTGATTTGCGAATCTACTAGAATTAATTAGTTTGAAAAGCTTCTAATGGAATATGTATATATGTTAACATGGCAGTCGATAAGAAAAGATAAATGCAAGACCTTCAAATTATTATTTGCCAATAGAGTACTTAATGTTGAGCACAAGACCATTGTATATTATCAAAATCAGTAAATATGAGCTTTGCTAATGGAACACAATGTTGGATATTGTTATCGACATGAAATTGGTGTTGAAAAAAACACAAGGTCTTTGAATATTATCAAAATTAGTAGACATAGGCTGAAGTCTATGTTAGTATTGGATCACGAAGGTTATAACAAAAAACATAGACAACAATTCTACTTATCATAGTTTCTGGAGCAGAACAAAAACTCCTATTTCTAAAAAAAAACATAATAACAAAATGATGCACAAAAAGCAATGAAACAAGATACCAAAAAACAAGCACTATTAACGATACTTCAAAGACAATCAGTTCTACAAAAGTATCTAGCACTAATTAGATAATGCCAAAAAAGCAAAACATACTAATAACAATATTAGAAGTAATTTTAAAAAGTACCCAACGGCACCTATAACAAAGGCAACGACTTTAAAGATAGTAATTTCAAAAAGGTACCATTGGCATCTAATTACCTAAAAATAAACAGCACCAAAAGCTATAACAACTCCAAAAGCGAATACTTAAAGCTATAGCACCAAAGATTATAGCTTCAAGAGTGACAACAATGAACAAAAGCTAAAAGCGAGAATAAAGAAAAAAAGCCTAATTAATTTTATTTTAATCAGGTGTACACGTTATACAAACTAATTGGCTCTTGATCAAATTTTTTTATAGTCAAATTTATTAACAAGAGGAAATGTTGAAGTTATACAACTGATTTTTCACACAGTGTGAAACACATAAAAAAATTATTTTACAATACTTGATCGGACTTGGTTAGTCAGCTAGTGCATGTTACGATTATAATCCAATATCATTTTTTTATAATAAAAACTGATGTTGGATTATAATCATAACATGTACTAGCTGACTGACTAAGTCTGATCAAGTATTGTAAACTAATTTTTTTATGTGTTTCACACCGTGTGAAAAATCAGTTGTATAACTTTAACGTTTCCTCTTGTTGAATTTATTAAGAATTTGCCTAGTTAAAAATTTGATAGTTGAATTTTTATTAAGAATTGCCTAGGGTGGAATTTTGTTAAAATTCAATCCTCAAATTTATATATAGCTAATTTTAGATCAAATTTATTAAGAATTCAACCAAGACAAATTTTGTTAAAGTTCAATTGTCGAATTAATAAACAGGGAGAAACATTAAAATGTCACAAAATTGTTACACAATCGATAAAAATTTTTTTTATATTATTTTATAATACTTTTTTGAAAGGCTCATTTGATTTATCTTTTATATGAATATTGAAAATTTTTAAACAAATATGAAGCTCTCACTTTGCTTTACAACATATTTTTTAAATCCACTTGAATCCAACGGTTTCATCTATTTGTAAATTTCACAATTTGATTGGTTGACTAATCCTGTAGTGATATTTGACTGGTCGATAAAATAAGTGATCTGTGTAATGGAGAACGAAAATCATATCTGGACGTTTTCTTCTATTGAATTAATAGCTAATTTTAGATTTAATTTTTTCAAAATTCGGCCTAGCCGAATTTTAAAAATTCAATGGTCAAATTTTTAAAATTCAACCTGGGCAAATTTTGAAAAAATTTGATCTAAAATTAGCTAGAAATTCGGTATTTGAATTTTTAAAAATTTGCCCAGAACAAATTTTGAGAAAATTCGAACTTAAAATAGCCAGAAATTCAATAGTTGAATTTTTTAGAATTCAAACACCGAATTTTAAAAAAATTTAACTATTGAATTTCTGGCTATTTTAAGTTCAAATTTTTTCAAAAATTCAAACACCGAATTTCTAGCTAATTTTAGATCAAATTTTTTTTCAAAATTTGGTTTGGACGAATTTTGAAAAATTCAAACACCGAATTTCTGGCTAATTTTAGATCGAATTTTTTAAAAATTCACCCAGGTCAAATTTTAAAAAATTCAACCATTGAATTTTTGTCAAAATTAGATCGAATAGACTAATAATTTGACTATGTTGAATACTTAATAGTCAAATTTTAAACTCTCGAGTCAAATTGGTATTGAATTTTATTAAAATTCGACTTGGTCAAATTTCTAGTTTTCAACTAGTGTATATATATAATATATAGTGTATAAGCTTCATGCAACAGTATAGATAGCATAGTACTATAATACCTCGATTCAAATAAATTTAAGTATAATAATCTTCTACATAATATGTTATAAAAATATAACCAAATTGCAATTAATAGCAATACTGAAATTCATCTTCTATTGTTTAAACTACTTTCAGCACTACTTTATTTGCACATTTTATATTTACATATAATAATGTCTTCAATTTAATAATATTAATATCGGCAGTCTATAATAATATTAATAGCCATAATAATATAGACAGTCATAATAATTTCACAGTCAATAATAATTTAGACAGTTGATAATAATATTGACAACCAAAATATATTTAGACATATGACATTTTGAAATACTGTGGTGAAAATACTAAAAAAATTTCGCTATACCATCTGCCATAAATTACTTTTATTTTAGGCACCCATGTATAATTGTATCCAGTTTTTATTAAGTAAAAAAAAAACTGATGCTTGTAAAAGTAACTTTAACTGTCAGAATATAAACTCCAGAATTATACCTTTATGTTGTACTTATGAAAGAGATATATAATACATTACTATAATGCAATCAATGTATATAGAAGTTTGATAGTTTTTTGTATTCAGATGAGGTTTCAGGTTTTGAATAAGGTTTTGAATAAGGTTTTGGGTTTCAGGTAAGGTTTCAAGTTTTGGATAAGGTTTCAGAAGTTATAATATGAACTCAAAACTTTCAGCACCAATTTCTAAGAGAATAAACAAATAAATTATTGATATTTTGGCAGTTTTGGGGTTTTGGTTGAGGTTTCGAGTTTTAGTAGAGGTTTTGGGTTTCAGTAGAGGTTTCGAGTTTCAGAAGCTATAATCTGAAACCCAAAACTTTTAGAAATAGCAAAAAAGATTTTGGCACTATCTTTGAATCATAGCTATACACAAAGTCAAAATTTTATTAGGTTGATCAATATTTATACCTTCAGTAAAGTTGTTCAAGAGAACAACTTAAGATAATTAAAATATTGATTAACTTAGTAAATTTTAATTTTTATATATAGCTATGATTGTTGATAATATTTTATAAAAAATTACTTAACCAGTATGTCTTATAATCAAAGTTGATTGGCTAAAAGGCATTAAATCATTAGTTAACAAATATTAAATGACCTTCTATAATTATTTAAATATAAAATAACACAACAACTAGTTACTAGTCATTTGGATTATTTGGTTTATTTCAAGTCATTTCCATTTCTGTTTACAAACAGATGGGCTTGTTGCAAATATTTCAGTATGCCCCATCTTTTTTGCCATGGTTTTGGAGCTTTATAGAGGTTTTGTGACATTAATTCGGTGTAGCGAATTTTGGCAGTTTTGCCATTAACTATAGAAATAGCTGCTGCAACAAAATTGAACTAGCAGATTTTTGATCTTGATTGGCTAAGAGCAATGGTCAAAAAATTTGGTTGTAATTTTACTAATGGAATTATAGCCTCCTATTAAGTGAAAATTGTTTCTGGGTCAAGTATACAAACTTATTTTTTAAGAATCTTCATTTTTGTAATGAAAAATTTTAAAAATTAATTCCCTGTTACACTAAGTATCATCTAAGACCATCTTTAATGATGCCTGACAAAACTAGTTTCAAGTGATGAACTGGTTTCATCAATGGTTTTGTCAGATAAAACTTTGACAATTGACGAAACTACTGACAATTGACAAAACTACTGACAATTAACAAAACTCCTGATGATTGATGAAACTACTGACGATTGATGATTGATAAAACTTCTAACAAAATTAAATTGGCCAATAAAATATAAAAATAAAGCCATCCTTCTTTTGATAAGCTTTTTTATAATGATCTCCAGATACTCTGAATTTTAAAATTTTTAAAATTACAGTTATTTCATTATTATATCTTATTAAAATATAGTACTTATTTTGACATATAATATAAGCCATCATTATTATGTTGACCAAAATAGGCATAATGCTGGCCAGAGAGTGTATTGTCAGGTAGAATTAAAGATACCGATACAAAAGTCTTAAAAATTCTGAAAAAAATGTATAAACATAAAAGAAGAGCATGATCAGAGTAAAAATTTGAACATGTATTTAATATTTTCTGAAGGGAAATATAAATTCCAAAAATTATATCATGTGATATCATGTGCATGTTATTATAAAATGTGCATTTCTCTATTACTAGTAAACATCAACATCAACATCAATCATCACAAATGCTAACACCACAAAAGTTAAGACCATACAGAATTAATTTTTAGCTACTATAATTTCCTTCATAAACTACCAAAAACATCCAGATGATTAATGCAAATCATCGAGAAATGTCAGATAAAAATAGAAACTGGTGTGAGTTGCAGAAAATATAAAACACATGGTGGTCATTAGGTGGGCACAGAATCTAGTTAACAGTCATGAAGATCATTTGCAATAAATAGGTTTCACATTGTAAAAGTCATAAACGTCATAAAAGTCGTAAAAGTGATATGGGACTTTTAATAATTAAAGATATTATCAGAGCCTTAGGTAGTATAGTAATTAAAATTAGTATAAATATTATAGTTAATATCAGTGATATAGCACTGATAAAATATATAGTTTGTCTTAAGTAAAAGAAAGTATATAATAAAGGTTTCTTGCTTTTGAGAGAACATATCCTTTATAATTCACACAAAATTCATTCTCTAATAATTCTATACCTGATATTCTGTTAAATAAAATACTTACACCCTAATCTACTGCTTAAGTGGCATAGACAGTTCGATCATTGTTTCTTGTTCACATGACAAATGTAAATTGTACTGAAATTCTGTCCGGTTAATTCTCAACGAACTGAGGACTTCCATGGTCATTACTCTCCAATTGTCTCCCCATGCTGAGGTAGTTGTGGTTGTTTGTCCAGTTTCCCAATGGATTGTGAATTCTGTGGCTGACTGTTCCGGTTTCGAGCTCGTGTGAAGAACTCAAGCTGTGGTTTTTGTGTTGTTATAAAGTACAAGTGCTAGAGAATTATCAAGGTTTAATAGATGATAAAAGAAAACATACCTACGTCCAAAATCACCCTCGTCCAAATCTAAACGCCTCCACTTCGACTAAGCCTAACGTAGATTACACAAGGCCTCGATCCGAATAGCAACCTACTCACCGATTAAGGGTTGGCACCGGGTAGAGTACTGTAATATTGAACATCAAAATTTCACATGATTTCTAAAAGAAAATCACATTTTCATTTTCCTTATATATTTACTACGCTTAATGCTATATTACATATAAAATTCATGATTCATTATGCGTTTTGTCATTCGTCATTCGTCATGAGTTTCGTCATTCGTCATGAGTTTCGTCATTCGTCACGAGTTTCGTCATTCGTCACGGGTTTCGTCATTCGTCATTCGTCAATTCGAAGTTACCTGACGAAATGGTTTCGTCATTCGTCTAGACGAAACTATTTCGCCATTCGTCAGGCATCATTAACTACCTTCATCATTATTTTTACACGTGATTAACTATATCTATAATAATAATATTGTGACCGGGAGTCTTACCATGAAAGATTCCGTCTCATATTGATCATCGGGAAACTTTAATTTTTTACGCTTGATTTTTATTTGAAGTAAATAAGCACAATAAAATGATGCAAAGCGAAAGTAAGAGCTTGGAGAAAGTTAAACGCAGAAGTAAAAGCAAAGGCGATAAAAAAAAGGAAACAGTAAAAATGATGTAAATAAAAAAATAAAGCGAAGTCCAAAAGTCAGTGAAGCACAATACAAATATAAATATGGAACACGTGTAAAAATAATAGTATGGTAGTCCGATTAACATCTAGTGACACGCTCCTGGGGATTATTCATTTATTTCCTGGGGGGATTATAGTAGAGGTTACCGACTCGGTATATAATTTCTACCCCTCAGGAAATAAATAATACTAATTCCGGCCGGAAATTAGTAAAAATTTTGTAATGTAGGTCAAAATTTCGAAGATCCTCGGCCGTTAACCAATCAAAATCGAGGATCTGCCGGTCCAATTTTGTTGCGGCAGCTATGGTTAATGGTTTAGCCATCAACACATAGTCATGTACATGAGTATGAATTACTCATCGTTAGTCATAGATTTCCCCGAAATTCTAAATAGTCTTATTTCTTAGAGATTCTAATCATAGTAGCAAAGCCCCAAAACTATCTAGTGAAGTATTACAATAATAAAAACCATCTAACGATAACTCCGGGGATCCTAGTGGCAGTAGGATCCTTTATTCTCAAACCAAATCCTCTATGCCTTCTTTCGAGTAGCCTTTGATTTTTGTTGTTTTTTAGGTTGCGAGTGCTAGTCACCACAAACACGCCCTTTTACAACGTAAACAATTTGATACTTTATAGACATGTATGTCGTACGTATCTAGAGATGGCAAAAATGCGCATTTTTGAGTCATATTGTGTCATTATGCGCGTGAAATGGGCACAGAATGGTATAATTGTGTCATTTATCAGCATTAATTGGAGAACAGACTGTGATTCATTATGCATGATGCTGCGGTTGCCCATATCTATATTTAAATGGGCAATTCCGTTAAATCATATATAAAATTGGTCCGGGTTCAAAAATAATTACCCAAATTATTTATTTGTTAATAATATATATAATTTCATTTTTATCTTTTTCAAAATGATATCATTGCCAACTGAAATCCTTTTTGAAATATTTAATAACCTTAGAAATTATTATAGATTTTTATTCACATGCCTTCTTGTAAATCGCCAATGGTGTAGAGTTGTTGTTTCATTATTGTGGAGTGAACCATTGACTTGTTGCAGTGATAAAAGACTTATAAGAATATACCTTTTATCATTAAATGAGGAAGAAAAAGTATCATTAATTCCATTAGATATAAAGCTTCCAAATGGTCCGAAACCATTATTTGAATATACATCTTATATTAAATCGGTCGATTGCCACGGATTGGAAAGAGGAATTGTGAATTGGCTTTGTTGTGAAGGAAATGAACCTAAAAACTGTAGCGAATATTATCGTAAATATCATGAATTCAAGAAAGTGGTTGAAATAGTTAAAGATTCGTTAGCTGTAATGTTATTACGTACAAGTGAAATCATTAAGCATTTAGGATTATCAAACAATAACCATAACGCATTGAAGATATTATTGAAAACTTCTTGTAAAAACACGACTATTACTTCATTGGATCTTTCTTATATTAAATTTCATTTTGAAGGAATTAAAGCACTAGCTGATGTTTTATGCAAGAATAATACCTTAATCTTATTAAATCTTGAACATTGTGATCTTGGTCCTAAGGAAACAAAAGTATTGGCAGAAGCACTTTGTGAGAATACAACTCTATCTGCTCTAAATCTTTCTGGCAATAAGCTTGGTTATGAAGGTGCAAAAGTACTATCAAAGGCCCTTTGTGAAAATACAACTCTATCTTCCCTAAATCTTTCTAGTAATGGTCTTGATGATAAAGGAGCGATAGCATTTGCGAAAGTTCTTTGCAAAAACGTCACTTTAGCCTTCTTAGATCTTAGCTATAATCGGCTCAATTTCGAAAGTGAAAAGGCACTTTCGAATGCTCTTTATAAAAATGTCACTCTAACCTCATTAAGACTCTCCGGTAATGGTAAACTTGTCATTGAAGGAGATAATGCATTGGCAGAAAATCTGCGCAAGAATACTACTCTGGCTTCCTTAAATCTTCGTCATAATGATCTTGCTTTTAGAAAAATAAAAGCGATAGCAGAGGCTCTTTATGAGAATGCTGCTTTAACTTCTTTGTATATTGGAAGTACTAAGATTGATTCTAAGGGAGTAAAAGTGATAGCAGAGGCCCTTTACAAAAACATCACTTTAACTAATCTAGATCTTTCTTGTAATCGCCTTAGAATTAATGAAATTAAAGAATTGGTTGAAGCTCTTTATAAAAATACTACTCTAAACTCTTTAAATCTTTATGGTAATAGACTTGGTTCTAAGGGAACGAAAGTATTAGCAGAAGCCCTTGGCAGAAATATCAAGTTGGTTTCTTTAAATCTCGGTCAGAATCAAATTGCTTTTAGTGGAATAAAAGCATTATCAGATGCTCTTTGCAAAAATATCAATTTAACTAATTTATGTCTTAATAATAATCGGCTTAATGATGAAGGAGTAAAAGAATTAGCAAATGCTCTTCGTATAAATACTACTTTAACTAGCTTAAACCTTTCTGCTAATAAACTTACTCTTGAAAAAGGGCAAGTAATAGCAGAAGCACTCTGCAAAAATACTACTTTAACTTACCTAGATCTTAGTCGCAATCAACTTGGTTATAAAGGAGTAAAAATATTAGCAGAATCTCTACAAAAAAATAATACTTCAATTAATTTAAAAATTAAGAATAATCAACTTGACTATAATGAATATAATATATTGAAATATTACTACGCATATATATAGATAGAAAATTTATGTATATAAATAATTTAATCTACTTTAGCTATTTTTCAAAACGACTAAGGTAATCAATGTTCGATGTACTAAGTAAAAAATGTTCAGCATGCTAAAAAACTTCCCAAACCCAATTTAAACTTTAAAATCTGATTCTAGTGATAATATTTAAATTAAAATTTTTTGCAATTTAAATAGTTCAATATAGAAATATATATAGGTTTACATTGGGTTTGTAAAGTTTTTATAAGATTAAATAAATTCTACAGTATATAACTTTACATAAAAATTTTAATAAATCTATGTAAAAATGTACTTTGTGATGTTTTGACTATTTTATCTGTAAGTTTAAAATAAAAATGACTTTAATATAGTAATTATTCGAATAAAATAAAAAACTGACTAATTAATTAATATGCGATACTCTAAGTAAAAATGCTCTATATTCCTAAACCTTAATTCTAGTATTAAATACTAACCAAACATGAAAATTTTGTGTTAAAAATTTTATATTAAAACATATAATAGGTGCAAAACCACCATATGTGCGTTTTATAATAAATGAAAATCATTATAATCCTACAATAAATTGTAAAACTTAAATTTAAAATTTGTAAAAAAAATATATTGGTCTAGATATTGAAAGCTCAAAAAGACGAGTTAGGCCATTAATAGAGATTCGCCTCATATAAATAACGAATAGGGTTCTGGTACAAAAGAGACGCGTTAGATTTAGCAAATGGCGTGATAAATACCCTATATTATTTCGTGACTATCAAATCGATCAATACAACATATAACCTCAACAACCTTCACTACTTAGGGATTGTTGGAACAAAATTAGAAGATATTTAGTAATAGATTCAGACTAGCTTTAGGTGTTTTATTAGCAATTCTTCATCGATACTGTAAAATTTTTGTAGAGTTCTCATAAATAAACCATTTATCCATTTGTCTATTAGATCAACAATATAAATCATTTGAAAATTACAAGTTCTAAAGTTGCCAGCAATATAAATTGAAAAATATTTATTTTTATCCGTTTGAAAATAGAATTTCTTGTAATCCTTAATACATCAAATAATTCTGTTTTATTGTACGGGTCTTATGTGACAACCCGTGCTTTTTTCATTTACTTATTGGCACGGGATTGTTACGTCAGACACCGTGCAATAAGATAGTTATTACATGGGTATATTGAATACTCAGTTACACACACGGGTTCATATTTAAATCCGTGCCGAAGGCACGGAATATGAACCGTGTGTAACTGGGTTATTCGCTACAACCCATACAATTACTATAAAGAATTTGTTTGGATATCGGTTTAATGAAATGAATATCTGGATCTATCATGTCGGATAAATGGATGGAGGATTAATCTTGATTGTAACTCTAAACATTTGAGCCGGTTTTATTTATAATATGGCAAAATCGGATCTTCTATAGTATAGGTGGGCAATATAAGATTATAATATATAAAAACTCTAACCCTAACCCTAACCTAACTTTAATTTAAACTATAACCCTAATCCTAACTCTAACTATTTATAAATTTGCTTAAATTAGTTCAAATAGATATTTTTATATATTATAATTTTATAATATTTCTACATTGCCCACCTTATATATCAACCGAAAAGAATTATGTATCTAAAGAATTTTATTTATATTTATATGTAACATTTAAAATCTGTCATTTAATGAAGAATACAGACTCGGGAGAAATATCAACAAGAGTGATAATGTTAGTGACCTAGAGATAACATTCAAATGGCACATAATTTTCAAAAGCAACCAAAAATTTAGAAGAATATGAAAAAAAAAATGAGAAAAGCCATGGAGAAGGAGGAAGTGGAGACTATTATGGATTTCATCCAATTGTTGTTCTCTGGGCGGATATTAAACGTTCAAAATATGAAAATGAAAAATTATTGGAGTTTATAATTGATTTAACAAATTGTGAGGTTACAAAATTTTTTAGTGAACAATGTAATCGCAGTCTCCCCGATCCCATTCAATTAATATGATTGGGATGATAAAACTTGTTCCATATAAGTATATCATTCCTATAAACTTTTCAAAATGCCGTGACAAAGATTATTATCTTCAATTAGAACTGGATTGTCCAACAAGTTTGAAAGGAATATATAGTCATGGCATGAAGAATAGTCAAAATGCGACAGTTGTATTAAATGAATGGAACTTTGATATTAATTGTTGTAAAACTGTTCATATTTATTGCGTATTTACTTTTTTTTTCTTTAAAACTCAAAAAGATAGCTTCATAACTCGTGAGATCTTTGGTCGAATATTAGAAATCTTCAACAAAAGAAGAAATAAGCAAAGTTTAACGGATAGAAATCGGTATATTGAGTGTCTAAATTTAAAAAAACCAAGGTTTTAATATAAGGCCAGACTAATTTAATTCGGTGGTTTACATTACCCTCCCCTCTCCCTCTTAGTAAAAAAGGATTGAGTGTATATATGAGTGCTGCCAAGCGAAAACCAGCAATTTCGATTTTTGCCGGCTCCGCTTTCTGATCCGATTCCTGATAAATTTAAATTAAGCACAACATAAATTATATGGCGTGTTAAAACACATTTTTCGGGGGTTTGATCTGTAAAATTAATTTCGGAATACTCACAATTCTCTGTTTTCGCTTGTCGGCACTCATATGGTTACAGATAGGGGTTGTGTAATGCCGGCGAAGAGAGAATACCGAACGTGAAATATTTTTTTTATACACATTTGCATTTTTTCACCCTCCTTTTGAGAGAGGAATGTAATTTAATTTTTGATCGTAAATTCGCTATATTGAAATTTATTGGAATAATTTATGCAGTATATCAAGTAAATGATAATGGCGTCGAAAAACGAATTGCGGTCCTAACTCATGTTCTGGCAAAAAATATAATTCATTAAGAAAATGTGAGTGTTTATTGGTGAATGATATACTTATGTGAATATGAATAGATTTACTCTATTTGGCATTTATGAAAGCAATAATTAATTTTTTTTAATAAAAAAAAAATAATTTTAAAATTTTTTTATTTTTTCCAAAAATGCGTCGTAAAGGTATGGGTTGGTGATGGAATGGTACGGGGTTTGGCGGCACGAATAAACCCGGATTTTGTATGTAAGACGCTTAAATTGACACGGAGTTTTGGCTCGTGTTGGACCGTATATTAGTACCAATTGGACCACTAATGACTCAGGCTTTGTAACACTTTACTAGTCCAAACATTTTGGCACGGATAAATTATACCACTATGATAAAGAATACAAACATGTAGATTACATAAATTTATAACATTCAATATAATATGAATAAACTAACTGCATATGTAGCATTTGTAATGAATTTTTTTGTTAAGATACTCAGAGCAGTTTCATCAGCGAAATTATGATATCCTAAAAAATCGCATATTAATTTTTCGCTCTTGAAACGAGACAACACGTACTAACTTTGACAAGTTTTATTCAGTGAAATGAAGGTGTCATTCCGTATGACGTGTCATAACGTGCCACGCCTTGTCGTAATGTCCACATCACTTTTAACCGTGCCATTCCGTAAAACGCGCCTGTACTTATCACATGACCATGCCATTTTATGTATTCCCGAAGCCATCCAGTACCACACCATGGACCATTTTTTTATTGGGATTAATCTGTAAATGGATACCGCATTATAATGACACATGTCGCTCAGTAATTGACATAAATTGAAAATGGCACGGAACATTACTTAATTGTGCCACGTTTCATCTTTAATCTCTGTAAGAATGAGCCATAAGTACTGTGGGAAACAAGAAAATTGTAGGTGATAGTAGAGAAAATTAATTTTGTTTTATTCATGTAATCAAAAATAGGGGTTGGCAAAAAAAAAAACCTTATTATTAAACACATCGATTATTTTTTAACATTCACTTCTTATGTTACGCGAATATAATATGCCTAAATCATTTATCCACTAAATTTATGCAACCTTATAATAAGATATATCATGTTAAGATACTGTAAATGCAGTACTGTAAACGAAGGTTCCACCTTACTTCACAGAAATCATTCCACCGATATCTATGACCTAATCTACTAAAAATATATATTTGCAACTAATCAAATTCTAAGCCTAATCATAAGCGATGTCGGCTAATTGAGTTGTCGATGAAATGATTATTTACCGAAATTTGAATAACTTTATATTAGAATTAAAGATGAATAAAATAAAATTAAAAAATGATACAACCTATCCATGAATTTAAAATAGGTCACGTTCTTATATTATTTTATACAATCATCATGACATATTGAGCAAATACGTAGTAGAGAATATTGAATACACAAAAAATTATTAGTTTTTTTGCCAACGTTATATAAAATAGTCCCTGTGGCGAGTGCGAAGCTACAGATAATATCGTATATCCGTAATAAAAAATAATTTTAAGTCGTATAAATATTTTTTATCCGGACAATTATCCGGTTAATCTACCCGATAGGTCTACCCAGGTGGCCAATATCTTAACCGGTTACCCGTTTTATCTGCAAGTTACCCAGATAGTTATTTCTTACTCGGGTATAGAGATGCCGAGAAAACCATGTGATGCTAAATAATCACAAGGAAATAACTAGTAATTTTTTTAAGTCACATGCAATAAGTATAAGCTATAGTGTGCGATGATTTAGCATCACATGGTTTTCTCTGCATCTCTACTCGGGGTCCAAAAAAAAGGAGAACAGGCAGTATTACTGCATTATAAAAATAAACATTATAAAATAATTCTTTAAATTATTTAATTATATAATAAATATAAGGATTTTTTCCAGTCATGTTTATTTTGATAAGGCTCAAGTTTCTATTATGAGATGACAAGTGTATTAACGGTATAAATGGAAATTAAGAGATTAAATTTCAAACGATACTGTAAGATCCTGACATCGGACATGTCTAAAGGTGCAGGTGAATTGCCGTAACTTGTCATATCATAATAAAGTTACGGCAATAATGTCGTAACTTATAATAATTATTACATATTACAAGATAGTTACGACAAGTTACGGCAAAAGTTACAGCATCATTGGAACGATTCACCTGCATCACTAGGCATGCCAGATGCAAAAGACAAAATAGTTATTTTTCTTTCATTTAATATCGCATGCCATGGATCTTGACATGTCAATTTATTTTATATGTGCAGGTTCTCTAGAATGTAGTTTAAGTTCCACAAATAAATTATACATAAACTTTAGTAACGGTACTATCCTTGCGTAGAATTTCCATGTTTTTCGATTTTATTCTATAGTATATAATTAATGGTATTACTAAAACTCAAAAAATAAGTTTGAAGAATTGTCTTAATTGAATTTAATACAGTAGTCGTCTGAAATCTTTATTATAAAGAAGCTACGATTAAATATTTTTAGCGGTTACCAAATCAAACTCGGTAAAATTTTTTTAGAACGATTCTATAAGTTTATAAAATTGCTTTAAGAAAAAATTATTGTTGAAAAATCTTTATTCAAAGTTTTAAAAAATTTTAAACGCTATAAAGAGGAACCGTGATATAAAAATACTGTTCCTGATGGGTCGTTGGTACAGTCCATTGATAGATAGGAAACAAAAGTTAATTTACGTACGTACGTACTGTTCTTGTTAGGATTCTAGTTTATACCAACTTAATTATAGTTTTAAACTTTTTTTTTCGATAAAAATTTTTTAGTAGAAATCTTTTATCAAATTTGATTTAGGTAATCTTGCAGTCATCAAGAACTCTTAGCTTAAAAAAAAAGTATCAGGTTAATAAAGAATATAAATTAGCAGAATAATCTGATGGTTATTCCACAAAAATCAAGGTATCCATTGGTTAGGAATAGTCACAACAATTCGAATCGATTGAAGATGTTAGCGAGTCAATAAATTCTTATCAGTTGTCCCTAAATTGATGAGAGAAGGCGTAATATGTAGGGCTTAGTTAACGTCGCAGATATATTGAGAAACATGGATTGATACCAAAAAGATATAAGATACGTATTATTACATTTGGTTTTAACGTTAAGAGCAAGTAGAAGAGACTGAGTGTAAACCAATTACGTTACACCATATTTCAAAATCCGATTGAAATAAGTCATGTGAGCGTGAAATTTTTTCTGCTGGTAACTATTCGAGAAACGCCATAGGTCTGTTTTGGCAATAAATAAATAAATAAATATAAATAAACAAATACAAAGAAAGATAGTAAAAATTTGGAAATATCTCAAATTGAAATGAAATGACTTATTCGATATGTAGTACTGTAGTATCGGATCGACTTTTTTGTTCAGTAACAATTACAAATATTTTAGTACATTTAGTACATAGAGTTTCCAAAACAAATTATTATGCTTTTTTAATATTACCGTAATCGCGATCATTAAATAAGAATACAATTAATATTGCCACATGTCCATAATCATATGCGCTCTAAACATATGTAATATGTATCAGAGAAATAAGGAAATTTTATTGTCCTTCCGATAATAGTCATGTTAATACAATAGCAAATTGCTAGACTTTGTTACAGTAAATCAATTCATTAACGTTAGTTAAAAATTATTAAGATTAAAAATGTGTTGTACCAACGAAAGGTTTAATGTTTTACTAGTAATGGTAAACATTGTTTCGCCGAAACCGAAAAAAAATTCAATGATATTTCTATTATAAGAAGTAAAAAATTTCCGACTGAATCACAACTTGTTTTTACGTAATTACATTAAATGTGTTAAAACGTTAAAACAAAGCTGATTATCGCTTTGGTTATGGTTTTAAAACAATTGATTATTATACATATTAGTAGAGCTTTACTGTTTTTAAATTTTGGTATTTTATAGTTTCTTGTATATACGTACTGACGTACTGTACATATGTATGTACATATCTGATATATACTTGGGAACGAAAACCATTACCGTTACTAATTTGTCGTGTTACATATATGTACAACAGAAATTCATGGTTACGATTTTGATATTTTATACGTATTAAAAATGCATCAAAAATAGAATTATAGTATCACTTTGTTACGCTACGTTCCAATAATTTTACTTGAGGTTTTGATTTGATTTTAATAAATTGAACTGTATGTTATAACCGGTTTACTGGTAATCGGTTTAATATTAAAATAAACCAGTTTCAACCTCTACTTTTCTACTACTACTTAATACGTAACGGTAATATGTACGTACGTACTATGCAAACCAAGAAATTTTCTATTTTTAAAAAATGTTAGTAACGATTTTTATAAACTATGCAATTCGTATAACCAAACTTGGCATTACATTGTATGTCAAGATAACTTGAACGTACCGTACCGGTACTTATGTATGTATGAATGTAAATATTTACCACATAATACGTAAATATACAGTTTATATATATATATATATTTGTTAAAGATATATTTTATTGATTTACAGTAATTCTCAGAATAATAGAATAGTATTGTTACATTTGTATCATTTTATAAAAACTTTATTCAAGATTAACTTTAGACATATTTAGTAAGGTTCACTCGGGCCCGATTTTCGTGCATTGGAAGACATAATTTATTCAAGTACTATTATACGTACGTACCAAGGATTTGAATAAAAAAATTTACTTTCCTAACAAGTTAACCAATATAAAATGTTGTTGAAACAGTTCATTTACTCTGAATGAAATATAGAATAAGCAAATTTTAATAAATGTATTTGTTTTTTTTTTTAGAAGAATAAATCTTAGTTGCAGTTTCTTAAATTTCTTGAATATTCTATGCTTAATGTAAAAAAGTTACATTGACGAATGATCGATTATGTTTAAAATTACACACAATTCACATGAAATAAATTTTTTGAATAATTGTAACAATTGTCAATAGTATATATTTTTGTAACGTAGTACTTGATTTGTAATGCGTATAAATTATACATCAATAATAAGGTACAAAGTAAATCAATTCTTTTTTCTTAACAAATTTCTATTGCGGCGTAGTTCACTGCAATACTAAGTATGTATAAATTAATTAAGATTTTATGTTACAGGGTCTATTCACATTAAAATTCCTGTCTACGTAATTTTTTAACGTTTAACTCAACATTTTTCAAAAAAAAAAAGAAAATTCGTTTTTTAACAATTTTTTTAACAATTTTTTAAACAATTGTTTAATTAAACAAACAATTTTTTAATAATTCAAGTTATTTTAAAAACTTTATACATACATACATACATACGTACGTACGTAATGATGGTTCCTGAATTAAACGAAGATTGTCTTTCTCATATATTCAACTATCTCAGGAAAACAGTTGACGATATTGCTATATTATATCCATGTGCTCTAGTTAATAGATCTTGGTGTAAAGCCTCTATGCCAATATTATGGAGTGATCCTTGGGCAATCAGAAATTATCGTGGTTCTGATTCAGATTTAGAAAGACGTCGTGAATTACTTATTAATGCTTATATTTCAAATTTACCTCAAAATTCAAAAGATTCTTTATCAAAAATTCAAAGAAATATTAAAGCTACTCAAAAAACTTCGGCTTTTGATTATGCTAGTTTTTTGAAACATTTAAATTTGAAATTTTTTGGTCATTCTATTAAAGTTTGGATTGATCGAGCTGTAAAAAATGGTTTCATTAATCATGATTCTCAACAAATTATTCATTATTTACTTATTGAACATGTTACAAAACTTTTACTTACAAGATCAACTAGTTTACGTAGTTTGGATTTAAGATATTGTGATGATGTTGATATGCGTGATTGTCTGGAAATTTTGGCTAGTGTTCTTGAATCTACAAATGATGCTCTTGATTGTCTTATTTATCTCAAAGATTTTAAATATAGTGGTAGTAATCAAGTTATGCCAAGAATTTTTGCTTCTCTTACTTCAAAATGTCAAAATATTAAACATTTAGGTATTTATGGTTTTCGTCCAACTGATAATTTTATTAATTTTATTGATGTTCAAAAAAATTTAAATGATGCTACTATTTCTTATGCTCCTTGTGGTCGTTTTGATTCTTCTTTCTCTGATTGGTCTACAAATGAATTCGTTTCAGAAAAATCTAAATCTATTATTAGATTATCTGTTGAAAATATTTGTTTCCCTTTGGATTTTTTTAGTTAATTTCGCTAATTTAGAAGAATTATATTTACGTTCTTTTGATCATATCTTTTCTAGAGAGGGTTGGGAACCTTTAGCTAGACTTCCTCTTAAACGTTTAAAAACTTTTTATTTTCAAACTCAATTACATCAACCTTTTGAATTTTTAGATATATTTGCTAAATTTGTTGAAAATACTTCGGGTGAATTACGTCATATTACTTTTTTAACTGGTTTATTAAATTTGGTTCATCTTGATACAAGACAATTCATTACTTCAATTGCTACAAATTGTCCTTTTCTTGAAGTTTATGAGGGTCCAATGATGGAAAATAATACTGAACAATTGGCTTTATTACTTGAAAAATGTACTAAATTAAGAGCTTTACATATATATTTAATAGGAAAATCTGATGATGAACGTCCAACTTTTGATTTCTTATTATCTCAATTATCTTCTAGTTTAGCTCCTAATTTGGAATTTTTAAAAATTAGTGGTGAATGTTTAGTTTATGAAGAAACTGTATCTTCTTTTTTTAATGTAAGAAGGAATTTGGCTAAAAAAATTAATTTTCATTGGGGTGAATTTGTAGAATGTGTTGGTAACGTAAAAGATGTTTGTAAAACTTTTCAAGAATTGGGTGTTGTTAAAAAATTTGGTTTATCTCGAAATTTGCGTAATTAATACACTTCGAAATTATTATTTTATAATATTTAATAATATTTAATATTATTTAATATTAATTGATTAGACGAGAATTGTGAAATTTTACATTACATAATATGTAATTGAATCGAATTAGAATTGAATTGAATTGGGGAATTGTAAAGAACAGATTCAACGTTAAATAAAACATTCCTAGAGAATCACTCGATGATTTGGTGTAATTTATAACTCTAAATTTATGCCATCATGGTTTTTTTACACATACTTATTCACCATTCTTCTATCGTGATCTTCTATCACAATCTTCTCTCTCACGATCTTCTATCACCATTTTCTCTCTCATGATCATCTCTCTCACGATCTTTCTATCCCGATCTTTCATCACAATCTTCCCTCTTCCGATTTTCACTCTCACGATCATCTTTCTCACGATCTTTCTACCACGATCTTCTATCACGACGACGACTGAGTTTACGTCTGACTTAATTGTGACAGTAAGCAAAGATTTGCTGATACGAGAATTAGTCCCTTTCTATTATTAGAGTTGTTAATGGGAGTTGTTTAAGTGGAATTAATAAGAAATGGGTTTAAATAGAGGCCTCAAATCTCGATTTTCTGCCAATCTCTCTCAGCTTCAGCTAATCTTAGCTTCAGCTGCCACAGAAATTATAATCAATATCGTGATTTATTATTTACATTACATATCAGTAAGTAACTATGCCATTTTTTCTTTCATCGGAATTTTTTTCATACAAATATTAACAAGAATTTTTTTCGTTTTTATATAGGTTTATTTATTTGATGCGTAGCCTTATCTTTCGTTATATGTATCGTTTTAAAATTTATAATATTTACTACTATACAATTTATTATTAGTAAATACGCTCTTTATTATAACCGTATCATAGTTTAATAGTTTGATAGTACTGATATCGATACACTAACATCATTAACATCCGAGTATAACTGGTAACTCAAATTTTCAAGCTAATGTAATAACATCATAAATAAAATGGGATCGTATTTATTTCACAAAAGACATTAATATTCACGTTTTATATACTATTTATTCATAGAAACATCAGTAACAACTTTAATGATTAAACGTATATTACTGATTAAAATCCACACTTCTGAGAAAATGTGATAGAAGCTATTATGTTATGCCTTACTAATAAAAAATTAACTCGAAGAAAATTTTTGATTTGTAAATTTCTCAAGAATAAAATTATCCAAAGTTTCTCACAGAAAGCTATGTGATGCTGTTTTAATTCTATTGATGCCCTTTTCTTCCTTTCTTCGATACTTTACCATAATAATATATAACCAATTATTTTATGCTCATTTGATTATTATCAATTATATTATAACAAAGCAAACTGTAACATACATATTTTCGATATAACCACTCTTCATTGAAGTTTCATCCTTCTTTTTTCATCAAGATTGTATCAAAATTTTACTTTAAATAAAGTATTACTGAATTACAGAATTCCACCATATCTGATATGGTAGACATAGAACCTAATTGCCGAAATATTATGCTGTAATGCCGTAATATCATAATTAGGGTTGCGATCCAACCCCTTTTTTACGGCATTACTACTTAGTTGGGAATCGGCATTTCTACTTAATTTGGGTTCATGACTAAACCGAAAAATATATCGATATACAGTATCCCATTTCAGTAAATACCAACCACTGATTTATTTACAGAATATCAATATGACCTAATCAGTCTGGTAGGGATTATAGAAGATCAATATTGTACGAGTCGAGTGACCTAATCAGTATGGTACAGGCCGAAATTATAAAACCAACCGTAATTGCTAATCCTAACGCTATATATATAACACTATATAGATCAGTATGGTACGATTTTAAAATTTGGCCTGTTCTATACCCCATACCATACTGATAGGGATGTGTTACATAATTTACAATTTTACATTACACGTAAGTTTCAGAAACCAATTTTACATAAGTATCGGGTTTACAAAAAGTTTGGCCAACATTGTTACATCATTTGATTTGAATGTACAATCCGAATCGTAACTCATAAATCACCGAAATTTTGATCTCAGAAACTAAAATGTCGTGTGTTCAAAATTACGATCAATAAACTATCCCATAAATACTTATATATGAGTGACGCCAAGGGAAAAGGGAACATTCGTTTTTTATTACATATCGAGCTTTCACTAAGATGATTTCAAGGATTTCAGAGGTTAGTTTATCATAATTGAAAGCCCGTTGTGTTGTCGATCATCAATTAAAAACGAATGTTTCCTTTCCCTTGGCGTCACTCATATAATAATAATTTATAAGTTTCCTTTCCCTTGGCGTCACTCATATAAGAATTTATAAGTATGGTACGGTTTATAGTTTAAAAACCATATAAATTAAATTACTATATCGAATCAGCATGGCATGGTGTGGTTTTTTGTTGAAAATCCATACCATACTGATCTGATTATAGCTGACTGAATTTCCCACCACCCTTGAATGTGTGTAAGGTTGGCGATATTAATCATCCAAAAAATTTGCGTCAACCAATAAAATAAAGTGCAAATTATAATAAATTTTTAATACCGTATAAACGCGAAATAACATTATTTTGAAAAATCAAAAATAACTTGTAAGGATACGAATTAGCATCCCAAATTAACGCGCATTCTAATGTAGCACATAATTTATCGTTGCGATAAATCGATACTCCAAAAATTTTCATCAAATTTAAATTTAGGAATTGTCAATTAAATCTAAAGAAAGAAAATTTTACCTGATTTGTTGATATTTTAAGTTTTTTTTTTAACTTTTTGCTATGATTTCTCACCAACTACTAAATCAAATTTAATAAATTTTTTTATTTAAATTCTACAATACTATTACAGTATTTTCAAATTAGTGTGGTCATCAAACTTTGATTGTAGATATCTCGACATCCACCCGGTCAAATTCAATAAACGATTTTTGTTTTACTTGTAGACATTTGTAGAATTCATATAAAAAAAAAGATTAACAAATTTGGTTAGGTGGGTCTCGAGATATTTTCGATCAAAGTAAAATGCACTTCTATTTGATAAACATTCAAATTTTTTACAAAACTTTAATCGAAGATATCTCGACACTCACCTAGCCAAATTCGATAAACTTTTTTTTTTTTAATTGTGAAAATCAACAGAATTTGAATAAAAAAAGTTCGGCAAATTTGGTCAGGTGGTGTCGAGATATCTTCGATCAAAGTTTGAAAACGCACCTCTATTTGATAAACGTTCTACAAATACTTTAAATTGGAGATATTTTGACACTTATCCAACTCGTAGAACATTTTTTATTTTATAAGGTGTGTATGAGTATTATAGCGCATGTAAGTATTTTCAGCTAATAACGCGTTGTCTATAAATCAGAATTGAATGATTTTCGATTCGTCTCATCAAGACTTACCAAAACCACATCACTAGATCACAAGATATGTTAATTAAAAAATAAAGATAAAAATGACTGATTATGATGCACATACTATATATTGGTAAATATCGAACGATTTTGGTACTATTCGATTCGTTTCAATGAGGCAAAAATGGTATCTGATCGATCCTTATCGAAATATCATTATTTAACTAAGACAAGCTGCACAAAAATTGGCATAAAATAGTGAATAACTTTTGATAGATCTGTCCGTTTTTGATTATATTACTACTAAAATGGCAACGAGATCAGTAAGGTTTTTGTATTATTTTTGATAAAATTAAATCAGTTAAACTATCTATTTTCATCAAAATAATAAGAAACTTTTAGATTTTGGCTATTTTGAGCTTGTTGGAATCATCTCTTCAAGTGGTCATTTTGGCAGCAAAACTATCAAAAACGGACTAGTCTACCAAAAGTTATTCTCTATATTATGCTAATTTTAAATTTTGCTTTGCACAGCTTATTTTGTTAAACAATGATATCTCGAGAAATATTGATCAGATTCACATGAGTTCAGTGCCATTCGATTTGTCTCCATTAGATGAATTTAATAGTACTAAAATTATGCAATTCTAATTGATGATTCACAAGATATCACTGTGCGCCACATGCCATAATGCTTATATCTACTTTAAATATTAATTTAGTGGTGATATCTTGTGAACCACTGATCAGAATTGTACAATCTGGGTATAAATCAATTTGTTTCACTGAGACGAAGGATCTTCTATAGTATAGGTGGGCAATATAGAAATATTATAAGATTATAATATATAAAAACTCTAACCTTAATTTAAACTATAACCCTTACCCTAACTCTAACTATTTATAAATTTGCTTAAATTAGTTCAAATAGTTATTTTTATATATTATAATTTTATAATATTTCTATATTGCCAACCTATACTATAGTTCAACCATCATTCTGTCTCTATTATTCTGTTATCTGTTATTTACCTACATCAACAGTTTGTAAGTATAGATTTATTTTAATGGACCGACCATTAATGATGCAAATGGCTTGAGCCAAGTCAAGAGCCAAATGGCTAAGCCGAGCCGATTAACAGCTCGGCTCTGGGTTTACTAATAAAGCATCGGCTCTAAAACGGCTCAGCTCTAGACTCTTAAAGCCGATATGAAGCTGAGAACCAATTAATTTGCATCACATGACCATCATCCAATAGTAAACGACAAACATTCTGCTAAAAAAAAGGTAAATTGCGTACTATTTCTAAACTATATGTCAAATACCAGCCAAATAAGTAATCGGATCAGGCTTGATATTAATTAAAGGCTGTGCTACTAAAATTCAATAACAACTATTTTAATACTTAAATTATATGTTAAATATGAATGAAGTTTAATATAAAATATAAACCGGGGCAGTAATGTGTCGTAACTAACACTATTTATTTGCATATAGAACCACTTAAGTTTTATTTTAAAAAAATATTGGAAAATTATACTAAACAAATACTTCAAATCAGATGCATCTAGCTAGTTTGCTTATATAGGGTTGCTTGGCTCGGTTCGAGGTTAATTGG